ACAAATTTTGAATGTTTTCTATTTTGGCTTCTGAGTATTCTATTGTGTTCCTTGATAAATGTTGAGCATGAACATGTGCTTAATTTTGAAATTGGATATGTTTGATAACAAGATTGGTCCCGAATCCTTTGCCTACCCATGGAAATAGGCACTTTATGAATGTTTTCTGTTTTTCTTTTTGACTATTTTGTTGCATTCCTTGTATGATTCTGATTATGAATATGTGCTTAATTTTGAAAATAGATAAGTTTGATAGTAGGATTGACCTCCAATCCTTTGCTTGACTATGGAAACAAATTCTTTATGAATGTTTTCTATTTTGCTTTTTGACTATTCTGTTGCATTCCTTGTATGATTCTGAGTATGAATATATGTTTAATTTTGAAAATAGATAAGATTTTATATGAATTAGAGTGCTTTGTGGGTTCCTATGGAAAATCCTATGAGGAACAATTAAGGACATGATCTTTTGATGAAAACCTTTATGTGCGTGACCTTATGAGATGATATGTAACAAGTGAAATGAGATATGATGAGACTTGATAAGTGAAATGTTGAGTCAATGACATAGTGAATGTGTGACATGCATCATGTGCATATGACTCTAGGTGTGTCGCTTAGGCTGCATGCTAGTGATGTATTGAGCTATTCTAGGTGTGCTGCTTAGGCCACATGCTAGTGATGAAATGACCTATTCCAGGTGTGCCGCTTAGGCCACATGCTAGTGATGTATTGAGCTATTCCAGGTGTGTCGCTTAGGCTGCATGTCAGAGATGTATTGAGCTATTCTAGGGGTACCTTGGGTCATTGGTGATGTATTTATGAATGAACGTGCCCCAGTTATGTTGCTGTAGCAGCATACCAGTGATGAGAAATGTGAAACTTCCATATGGCGTCATATGCATGCATTTATGAGTCGAGTTCATAACATTATTGCATGATAAATAAATGTGTATGTATTCTAATGCATCTATAACTTGAGAGTTATGCTTGGTTATGTGTAACTTGTGTGGTATTTGTTATGATTGTGTGTGTGTTGCCTAACATTTATTTCTACATCTGAACTAGAGTGAGATGTTTCTCACTCCCTTATTGCTCTATGTGTATTTTTATGGTGTTGTAGGTGATCATCAACATAAGGATGTTGGTGATGAGGTTTAAGTCTCATTGTGGGGTGTGTTCTATAAGGACGTGTGATATCGGGGTTTAGTTAGGATTGATTGAGAATGTTACTTTTGTTAAATTTCTTAGAAGACCTTGATTTTATTCTTTTGTAATTTTTGCATTAAACTGATTTATGATTTATGGATAGGAGCTCTTTACCCTTATGTGGTTAAAGACTTGAATTTTATTTATGAAGGATTTTATTTATCTCTATTTATTGTATAATTATGTATGTGGGGTAGAGGGTGTCACATGCCACTTCAATATTGTTCTTCTACCTTGATCTAACTCTAAATTGATGCTTACTATAGGGATTTAACTTTTGTTTTTGCCTTTACTAAAGTATCATATATTAAGCTTTTGGTCCCTTTCAACATATTCAACTTAGGATGTTCTAAGGGTTACTCACATGTCAACTAAGGTTAAGAACTTATCCTAATAGTTCAACTCTCTAATCCTCAAGGTAGACATGTTAAGAATTTTCCTACTCAAGATTTAAAGTCATAATTCTTAAAAAAAATTCTAATTGTCTCACTTGTACCACACTTAACGAATTTTGATCAAAAGGTATCTAAGATCTTCGCACCCACAAAAACTTCCAACTTACACTTCTAAAAACATTTCTTCCAAACAACCAATTCTAGATACTTACTTATCATGTTCACTTGTTTACCTAACGGTAATCCATACTTAACTTCATACTTTTCTACTTTCCCTAATTATTAATATAATAAGCACTTTCATAGACAAACCTCTGAGTCAAGTAACTTTTTTTTTACAAGGTCCCCTGTTTCTTCCTTAAGTCTCCCAAACACATAGGCATCACAACCCCCACAAGGTTTACTAGAATTAGGGAAACCAAGGCAAACATGTTATTCAACTTACATTATGTTTTTAATAATGATTCTTACACCTAACCTCTCACTTAAGGAATATTTCTAGTCCACTTATAGAAAGCTCTATCTCTCCCCAAAAGGCAACTAGACACGTCTAAGGAAAATACTTAGGAATTCTCTAACTAAAGGGATGTCACTCAACTCACTTATATTCCTAATTCTCAATAAAAAAGGATTATGTATACATGAATAGTTCTTTCAAATAAGTTTTAACTTGGTTGACAATCATAATTCTAAACTATTATTCTCATCAAGGACAACATTTTATCGAAACAAACTAACATGCCATGGTGTAAAGATAACTAAGTTGTACAAAGGATTAAGTTTAATTGACTAAGAGGTAACAAATTAAGTTAACTATAAAACTTTAATAGGCACTTTAAAGGACATTATAAACAAATAACAAAATACAAACAAAATCAAGTTGAAATTACATCAATAAGGTAATAAATTAGGAGAAAACAAGCAATTAAACTTTTGTAAAGAAACAAGTGACATAATGAAATAAGTTGTATAAAAATTAAAGAATAAGACATATTCTCTATCTTAAAATGAGTCTACAATTTTTTTTAAAAAAATAAACTCAAAAAAATACTATATTTTATTATATTTTAAGGCATAAATAAGACTGATGGACTTTCAATCACTTCATATTTAACCTCTTCATGCTTTAGAGCTTGAGATCGAAGTACCCTTCTTAACTCGAACAGGTCATGATTATGCCAATCAACTTCGTGCCTCCATAAAAATTTTCTTTGAATATACATGTGTTACGGGGGTGATGTGCCATTATTGACGATTTCAAAAATAAAACTTGTTTGTTAAAAGACTTTTTTTGTCTTCTATTGTAGAATTTTTGGTAATATTTATAAATGGTTAAAATTTGTCATAAATAATGTGTATAGCAAAATAAAGAATTGACTTTATATGTAGGGATAGATTAACATAATTATATATGTTATTATAATTATAATTCATTTACTTTTAACTCTGCAAGCTAGACAGATAAACAATGCGATTAAGTCTACATTTTTATTTTTGATTATAATCTCACTAAAATTATTAACAATTTATATTGTTTTATTTACAGCAAACAATTTATATTGTTAATCTTGATGAAAAATACACGTATTATATTAAAAATACTATCTATAATAAATCACTCACAATAAAATATGTGTCAACAAGAAAATTTCCTTATATATTTTTTACATATTTAAATTATTTTTCATATTTAAACAAAATTACACGTAGTAAAGTATGTTATTTGACCCACTATGTTAAATTGGAAACGAGGGTTTCGTTTTCATGTTGTATTTTCATTCATCAACGATAACTTCTCTGTTTATATGCATGGGTCAACAATACCCAAGATATTACAAGCTCATAAAGAAACCAACAAAACAACATGAGTTTTTGGTCAAATGAATACAAAAAAGGGCTTCACTCGTGGGCTTCTAGAGAGTTCAGCAATTAAATCCATTTTATTCACAGGAGGTTTTTTCCAAGGAGGTTTTTTCCTCACTGACATACCCCTTTTCCAAGGAGGTTTTTTTTTTTTTTTTTTTTTTTTTTTTTTTTTTTTTTTTTGGGGTAAAATT